GTCAGGAGATTATTACGAAAGCATAGAGGGAACCAGTGGAAGGATCTTTGGCATTTAAAGTAAGTGAGAAATTGAAGGAGACTCAATACTGTCTTGGGTTGTGGAAGAAGACTATAAGACTGAATTCCTAATGAAGGATAGAGGAGCTTCGGGAAGATATCAGGAAAGGGATACTGGATCAACATGTTCGGCATGAGCACATTAAGGCGAAGGAAAAAGAGTTGGCGGTGGCAATTAAGGAGGAAGAGTATTAATGGAAGGTGAAATCAAGGAATACATGGCTTCAAGAAGGGGATAAAAATACCAAATTCTTTCATGCTCAAACGGTGCAATGAAGGAGGAATAATCAGATTCAGGGGCTGAAAGATAGTACCAGAGCATGGCAGAATGATTCGATATGTATGCAGGACATTGCTGTTAATTATTTTATCTCTTTATTTAAGTTCCATGCTTTTCGACAGTGAAGGGAGGTGGCAGCTTGTGTGGGGATGAAGGTGAATGACCGGGGATAATGAGGAGCTTATTCGGCCGCTCTCGATTAAGGAATCTGTGAAACAGTGTTTCAGATTCCAGCTACTAAGTCTCTTGAACCTGATGGGTTTATGGCTGGTGTCTTCCAAGATCATTGGGAGGTGGTGGATGGAGATACCATCCGAATGTTGCAAGCCTTTCATCAATCTGGGCGGTTGTTACAAAAGATTAACCATACACATACTGTATTAATCCTTAAGGTGAAGGTTCCACGGAGGATGACGGAGTTGAGGCCTATTTCTTTATGTAATGTGGTATACAAGATCATTGCAAAGGTCTTGACGATGAGATTAAAAACGGTGATGGATCAAGTTATTAGTCTTAATCAGTCGTCTTTTGTACCAGGACGGCAGATTCATGACAACACTCTGGTAGTACACAAAATTTTGCATTCTTAAAGCAAGGTCTGGACGGGGAGGACGGTAGAATGGTGATTAAGCTGGATATGGCAAGAGCTTATGACCATGTAGAATGGGATTTTCTTATTGAGGTTATGGATAATTTGCGGTTTCATCCCAAATTTTGTGATTGGATTCATGAATGCATTTCTACAATGTCATATAGTGTTATGGTGAATGGTGTACCATCAGGTTACTTTTGACCGGAGAGGGGCTTAAGGTAGGGTGATCCAATGTCCTTTTTCTTATTTCTCCTGTATGCGGAAGTTCTTTCGTCATATATTCGGAAGCATGAGATGGAGGGCTGAATTAGTAGGGTACGGGTGGCACCGGCTGCAACGCCTATCATTTACCTATTTTTTGCAAATGATTCGGTGGTCTTCTATAAAGCGAAATAGACGGAGACAGTACAGGTGGCTAATATCTTGGATGACTATGGTAAGGCGTTTGACCAGATTATTAACCTGGAGAAAAGTTCTATATTCTTTAGGAAGGGTTGTTTGAAGAAGCAAAAAAAAAAAATGAATTGTGATGCGAATGAACATTCAGGCTAGAGACGAATTTGGCAAATATTTAGGGATTCAAGCTGATTTTGGGCATTCTAAGAAGGCGGTGTTTGAATCAGTTCTTTGAGGGATTCAGAGTCACATTAATGGTTGGGCCGAACAATTTCTTTCGCCAGCAGGGAAGGAAATTTTGATTAAATCAGTTGCCATGACGATCCCGAATCATGCTATGACGTGTTTTAAATTGCCGGTGGGTACTTTAAGGCAATGGAATGAGTTATTGCTCAATTTTGGTGGAGAGGACAAGCTAAGACTAAAGGGTGTCATTGGGTGGCATGGGATAAAATGACCCAAGTAAGAAGCTGGGAGGATTGGGGTTCCATGACCTTATTAGATTTAATTTGGCTATGCTTTCCAAAATTAGTTGGCGGGTGTTAAATAATCCAAAATTGGTGCTTGGTGTGGTGCTAAGGGATAAGTATTTTCCTCACTCTTCATTCCTGAAGGCAAATAAACAAAATAAATCGTTGTGGGGGTGGAAAGGTATTTTATTAGGGAGACAAGTCCTGAACCATGGGCTTCGTTGGAGGGTGGGCAACGGTGAATCTATTAAGATCGCTAGTGATCCATGGATTCCTAAGCCTCATTCGTTCAAACTGATGTTGCAGAGGGGCTTCTAATGTGAAGGTGTGTGATTTAATCACTACAGATAGGAAGCACTAGAAAATGGAGATTGCAGCTTTGGTGCTATCTAAGGACTTGGATTTGATTTTAATTATTTTGATTAGTAGAAATGGTTGCAAGGATAAAAGAATATGGCATTACACAAAGAACGAGATATATTCGGTGCAGTCGGGATACCATGTAGCTATAAACATGATGAAAAATGGGGAGTTTGGCCGCAAATGAGGGGGAATGCCGAGCTCCTCGGGAGCGTTGGGAGGGACATGGAAGAGCATGTGGTCTCTCTTGGTGCCAAATAAAATTTGGTTATTTATTTGGAAGGCATGTCTAAAGGTGTTGGCGGTAAGGCATAATTTGGAGCGCCAGTAGATTTGGGTAGTGAATAAGTGTGAGCTTTGTGGTATGCCTGATGAAACTGAGGCTCACCTCTTTTTTGGGTGTGAATGTAGTCGTGCGTTCTGGTTTGGGACGTCGTTGCAAATTAATATGATGGATATGAGGGCAATGGAATTTTTGGAAGGATGTCAGAGATTAGTGGAGCGAATAAAGAAGGAGAAGGATGCAGAATTGATAATGCAGCAGGTGGCTTTTAGGTTATGGAAAATATGGAAGTGTAGCAATGAGGCTGTCTTTACAGGGAATTGAATACTTCCACATGTTGTTGTTGAATTGTGGCAACAGCAAGTTGTGGAGTTTTGGGTGGCTACGGTAGTGGAGGAAGAGAAGCAGCGGAATAGCAAGGATTCAAGGTTGGAAGGTGGGTCAATGGTAGGAATGGGTGGGGAACGGTAACCAATGGAGGAATCCCATCTTTGGAGAGTTAAAGTTGAATTGTGATGCTGCTTGGAGGAATGACACAAAGGTGGGGGGGGGATTGGATAGGTGTAACAAGATTTGCTGGGATTTAGAAGATTGCAGAAGAGGTAAGTGAGGAATGATATGCGGCTGCAATTATGGCGGAGGCGGAGGCTGTTAGACAATGGATGGAGACGATTATCGTAAGTGATGTTATAGAGGCTAGCATTAGATTGGTGGTGGAATCAAATTCGAAGGGATTGATTCAGATGCTTAACAAGAAGGTCATGGTTGATGTGACTCTTGAAATTTATCTCCAAGATATTTGGAGGATGGCAAGCTTATTCCAATTGGTAAAGTTTTTCTTTACCCCTCAGCAATGCAATCGTGCAGCCCATTCGGTGGCTGCGTACGTCATTAAGCATAGCAGGAGATTTGGCTTGGATGAGTTGGGTTCAAAATTTCTTTTTAATATTTTAGCAAAGAATGCAAATGTAATTGTTCGTTTTTAATCAATAAAATTCTATCTTTCAACAAAAAAAAAAAGTTTGAATTTCTGGCTCCACCACTGAATAAGAATCCGTTAATAACATGTCCTTAATAGGTTTACACGAGGGTGACACGCTTGTCACATCCTAGCCTAGGGCGGATCACTTCCCAGGCCCGCTCCACCACCGTAGCACGATATTGTCCGCTTTGGGCCCCCAGCACACCCTCATGGTTTTGTTTCTGGGAACTCACACGAGAAGTTCCCAGTGGGTCACCCATCATGGGAGTGCTCTCGCGCGCTACTCGCTTAACTTCGGAGTTCCAACGGAACTCAAAGCCAGTGAGCTCCCAAAGGCCTCGTGGTAGATAGGGATGGGAATATACATTTAAGGATCAGACCCCTGGATGATGTGGGATGTCACACGCTGGTAACCCATTTCAACACGTTAAGAAAAATGTTATTTAATGATTTTAATTTTTTAAACTATTAAAAAAACTTACTATAAAATACAATAGTCATAGTGTATATGCATATATTGTATATCAAATATATATTATTGTATTATTATTCTATTTAAATAAAAAAATAATAAGTTTTATTTATTTATTTTTATAGTATAAGATAGGCAAAGATTGAGAGTAAAAAAATTATAAAACACATTAAAATTAAATATATCAAGTAATTTAAAAATACCAAACACATTAAAAAATTATAATAATTAATTTATAAGTGCGAAAAAATGTAAAAAAATAGGCAGACACTCGTGATTGCATCCTTTAAATTTTGAGGATGGGTATGCAAACCCTCATGAATAGTATTTAAAGTGAGTTCAAAATAAATAAAATTCGTAATCATTAATGTACAAGTCTGAAAAATGTGAAAGTGTATGTAAACGCTCATCATTGCATCCTCAACCTTGAAGCGCAACTCCCTTCATTTTGTATATCCTTGAAAATTTGGTATTTTGTAGTATTGTACTAATGATTTTTCATTACGCTCTTATTTTGGGGTAAAGACAAATGTTTTTTATTTTTTTTTTAATGTTTTGAAGTAACAATTATGTGGCAATATGGTATGCATATACTAATTTATTATTATGTTTTTCACTTTTTTGAGGTCAAATTATGTTTTTCATTTTCATTATTTATTGATTTAAAATATATTTTCTTTAACAAATAACTGGTCGAGTCATATTACCTGATAATATTAATTGGTCAATTTCGGGTCGGGTCATATTACCCATTTACTTTAATGAGTGTTATACGACACGACCCGTTAAGATATCGGATATATCACGAAAACGACACGAACACGGAAAGCATGACAAAAATGCTAAGTTTTCTAATTTTTACTGTATTTTCCATACAATATTTGCACAACATCTTTAATATAAATGGAACCTACATATGTTGGTAGGTTACTTTTATTAGAAATGTGATACAAACGTGGTATAAAAAATTTAATAAGTATAGCCTTATTCATTTTCAATAGGACAAATTCAAGATGTTTATGTATAAGCCATTGACTATTCACTATTCTCATCGACTTGATGGGCACCTACTCTACCCTTGATATAAACATTGCTCTAATCCCTTCCTTTTGTCACACTCTTTGTATCACTATCCGTTTCTCCATTATTTCACTCCCACACAGCCGGATCATTTCCTGCCCTTTACTGCCAACAACACTAACGTCACCGAGAAAAACATTTTCACTAATACCAGGCCAGTCCTGAAAATTCGGCGTTTCAGCGTTCCGGCATTTGTGTGAGGGCCTGTCGTAGATGTAAATGGAAACCGATCATATTGAAAAACGTAACGCTGTCATGAAAAAGCTCCTCCTCGTTATAAGCTGCACACTTTTATCCATAGGCACATGCGGAGGTCCATTGGTAATGCGCCTCTACTTCATCCATGGAGGCAAACATATCTGGCTTTCGAGCTGGCTCCAAACCGGCGGCTGGCCAATCATCTTCATCCCCATAGCCATCGGTTATTACCACCGCCGCAAGACTGAAGGCCCATCAACCAAACTCTTCTTCATGAAACTCCCACTCTTTATGGCCTCCGCAGTCATCGGCGTCCTCACCGGCCTAGACGACTACCTTTATGCCTACGGCGTGGCCCGACTTCCTGTCTCCACGTCAGCCCTAATCATCGCTGGCCAGCTAGCCTTCACTGCCCTTTTTGCCTTTATTCTTGTAAAGCAGAAGTTCACCTCATTCTCCATGAACGCCGTCGTGTTGTTGACTATGGGCTCGGCTGTTTTGGGGTTGACCATCAGCTCTGATCGGCCAGAGGGGGAATCGAATAAGGAGTATATTGCCGGGTTTTTTATGATGGTGGCGGCGGCTTCTTTGTATGGATTTGTGTTGCCGTTGATAGAGTTGACATACAAGAGGGCCAAGCAGACCGTTACATATGCTTTGGTTCTGGAGATTCAATCGGTTATGTGTTTGTTTGCTACTCTTTTCTGCACTGTGGGAATGCTTATCAACAACGACTTCAAGGTTAGTTGTATTTGGCCTCTCCTTAGTTATCATCATCCAATCAATTATAGTTATCTGAGATTCTACTTCAATTAATTGTTAATGTGTTTTCATGCTTGTAATAATGTTAATTTCACGTCATGATCTGAACTATCGATTTTGTAAGTCATATTTTAAATATTATTTTTATAAAAAAATTAGCTAAATCTGAACCAATTTAGTCATATAACATGTTGTTCAATAATAAACAAACTACATTCTTCACTTTAATTAACAACAAAATCATGAAAATGTTAATCGAAAAACGATTCTTAATTTGGATGATTTTTTTTTTGCAAAACTCATCTTTATAGTATTTCCTAGAAAGAGACATAAAAAGGTAGCTACACATGATAATTAGTAAATATCATTAAAATAGCAACACTCATTTGCCAATGTGAGAAGGGAAATGATCTATCCTCGTATAGCCAAAGATCAAATGGTATACCTACATGTATATTTTTTACTTAATTTAGTAAGTGGAACGAGTGCAACAAATTTATAAAGTGACTTGTAGAATTGTGAGGAATATATCCTCAGTCATCAGTCTTCACAAAAGGACTAGAGAGCCTTAGTAGTGGAGAAATATGCTAGCTAGATATACTAAAACTCAAATACTTCATGCTTTGAATCAATCTAACGTTATTATACCAACTACCAACTAATGAGAGTGACTTTATTCTACCTTTTTTGTTCATATATATGTATTGATGTTGCACAAGATACCATATATTTTCACAAACTGTATCAGTACTATACGGTACGTCCATAGGTTTATTCTTCATCCCTTCTAAATTAAAGTTCCGAGATCCCGAAATGAAATATTTCAATATTGAAATAGTAGTAATATCATTGAAAAACCATCCCTTCTAGTACTGCTGCTATTTTTTTTGCCATTTTTGTAGTTGCTGGAACTATGTGGTAAAGAGTGTAGAGGTTCGAGTCCGCTTCAAGGCATTATTGAATATTGAACGTGCTCACTAACTTGTAATAAGTTCGGCTTTGTTAGTTTTAATTATTTCATCATTATTTATAAAAGATTTTTGTTGGACATGGTATCTTACTTACGTTTTTGTACATTTTAATCTCATGATGTGTTTGAAAAATAAATTAATAAAGGGATAAATACGTTTTTGTACATTTAAAATTTTAACCATTGTATGTTCTCCCCTTTGGTAGATTATTTTTTGTTAGATAAGTTGGTAGAATAGTATGCTCCTTACTATGCATTTAAGTTAGAAATCAGAACATACTCCTAGTGATTTAGCTAGATGATTTAGTGTGGAAAATGATTCGTATATAAAAAGGATATTCTTCGGTAAATAGTCAAATTTATTTACAACTTTTTCAGGTTATTCCAAGAGAAGCAAGAAAATTCGATCTTGGGGAAACCAGATATTATTTGGTGCTGGTATTGAGTGCTACAGTTTGGCAAGCTTTCTTTCTGGGAGCCATAGGAATCATCTTCTGCGCCTCATCTTTGCTTTCTGGAATTGTGATTGCTGTTTTACTCCCCATAACTGAGATCCTAGCAGTTATTTTTTACCATGAAAAATTCCAACCAGAAAAGGGAGTTTCTCTTGCACTCTCTGTGTGGGGATTTGTCTCGTACTTCTATGGTGAGATAAAACACAACAAGCAAAAGGAAAAGGAAAAGGAAAAGGAAAAAGAAGAAATGGAAATGGAAATGGAAATGGAAATGGAAACCGAAATTGCGGAGAAAAAGAAAGACACACCAGAAACATCACAAGTTCCTCTACTGGAGCCCTAGCTAGTCAGTAGTCACCAACCCCAGTTGGACGGCAACACCAATACTATCATTTTTGCTGTGACATAAATTCTAGCACATGTGTGATTGTGCAAATTATTAATAAATTGTATTTAGGATATTAGATCGTATCCCTTTATGATTATAGTATTTGCAAGGAAAGAAATCCTCATTAATTTACTATAAATAAAGGTGCAATGCATAGGAATAATACACATAACTCTTGAAGTCTTTCTTCATCTCTCTCTTTGACGCACCCTTTCAGTAAAATAGGCCACAACATGTTATCAGCACGCTCATGTTGTTGCGCTAAGGAACTGAAAGTTTTTTTGCTACAAACCCATTCACAAGATTCATCATCGCAATCCCAGGTCTTCTAAAACACGGTCTAAATTGTCGATATTTGTAATTGCATGCAACATTCACCATTGAACATGAACCCTAATTTTTTATTATCGAATTATATGTTGTGAATAATTTTTTTATTATTGAATTATATATTGTAAAGTCAAAATTGTTGTTTGACTTTCCTTGTCAAATCTTGTAAATTGTACCAGACAACTCTAGATAGTTTTAGGGTTAAAATGCTTACTTTTGGGATCTTGCTGCTGAAAATATTCTCTCAAGAGCTTAACTTCTAACATCAAAGATTTGTTCATTCATATGCATTTTATGCCATTATTTCCAGTTTATTTTGTCTAGTGAATGTGTCTAGTCAAAACTTCTCATTGCTTTCACGTGAGTTGGGCACACATTGTAAGACAACCCACATGGGTCATCTAACAACTTTTTCTTAAAAATGGATTTTCAATCCTAGATCCTTCCCGATTGCTTTTGCACATAACATGTGGCTTTTTTGATCCCCTTTCTTGTCTAAAACATCAAGCCCTCTTTAAAAACTCAATCTAGGGTTTCATTTCAATTTGGCTAGGAGAATTGCATTTCCAGAAAATAGTGTGTTTTAGCTTTGAGCTGCCTCTTTTGTTCTTCATTAGAAACCCTAGCCACAAAATCATATTCATGCACTAAACACCCAAATCGTTGTGTATTAGGGTAGCATTGTCTTTGTGATTTTGTTTTAAGTTTGTGGTCAAAATTTTCCAAGTTTCATATCTTTAAACCGACCTCTTTTTGGATTCACATCAATTTCATCTTTCAAGTGTTTGACTAGTGAAATTGATTGGACATTAATCCAGATTTGCATCAACTTCATCACAACATTATCTGCATAAGTTGATTTGGTTTCGGTGCCATAAGGTGAAGAGCTCAAGAAGAGCTACCACTTCGTGAAGATCGAAGGAATATGAGCAAAATGAAGGGAGGCACAAACTTATAAACCGCAACTGAGGGTTTAACTGACGAACCACTCCGTCGGGTAAACTCATCCATGCATCGATTAATATTTTGGTCGGGGGAACAGTTTCAACATGTGGCAAATGAAAGTTTGACCACCTCGGGAAAAAATTCCCGACAAATACCTCCGTCGGGTAAATATTCTTATCATGACGAGACACATCTTTGTCGACTAAACAATTTCCTGCCTGGCGCCAAATGTTTATCAGACGAATATTTTTTTGCCTGCGAACTGTGTTCGTCGTGTAAGACCTTTTAGTCAACCCATGTCGGAGACTTCTTTTGTCCTACCACTGCCAATGTCCGTCATGTAAGTAAGATTTGCCGACGAAATTTTGTCCGTCGCCGGAAAATTCGTAGGTGAACATCAAATTTCTGGTAGTGAAAATTATTAGTGGGGTTTAAAGCTTTTTTGCCACAAGTTCCAATATGTCTAACAAAGGGAAACATTTGTGCCTCTCAATTTAATTCCTTTTTATATATTTTAGTTAGAAAATATTTTCTAGTTTCCTTATCCAATTATGCCATTGCAATTCCTCAAATAAAAAATAATTCGCATAAAGAAAATTAGAAAATTCTAATTTGATAACATTGCACCTTAAGAAACACTCAAATTTCAAATCAAAGGAAAAGTAACACGACCTCTGCAGAAAATAATCAGAAGAAAAAAAATTCAAATTTGAAATTCTCAAATCTGGAAGTTGAAAGCTTAAGAAACTACATCCCACGAGGAGAGAAAGAGATTGATGCCTTACCTGACATTGACGTTGGGGGTGGTCGGAGTTGGCCAAGTTTGATGGGAAGAAGTAGAGAAGCTGCTAGAGAGAACTCAAGAGTGGCGTTTTAGTTTTTCGAGAAAAAGAAAACTCCAGAGAAGAGGAAGCAAAGTGACACCCGTCCCCTTCCCTTTTTACGATAATCCACACATGTAAATTCATTGTGCTACACAAAAAAGAAGCCGAACATGGGCAACAATTGAAAGGCAGTTTTGTCAAAAGACTGTTAATGGACAGTATTTTTCAACTGAGGTTTAGTATAGGTATAATATATCCCATCTTTTCCATTTTCAGAACGAAAATAACCCTCACATACAAGATAGAGCTAGCACTACACATCTTCCAAATTACATCGATGGTGCTTGACAGCTAGATATGCGTTCTTATTGAATTTTCTGATTTGAATTGTAATACATTTCATATCTAAGAAAGCCTTATGGGAAGGCATACTTATACACAATACAAAGAAAGCTTTACACCCTTGTAATCGGATGCAACAGCACACATGCAGCAATAATACAAAGTAAAATGACCTCCCTGCTGTCCATGAGTCAGCAATCACATGCATATTCCTTTCCAGAGTGCACACCCTTGCTGTCTTTCCTTTATGGCAATGATGACTATAATTGTAATGATGGCAGGTACATACACCCATGCTTACCGTGCTGTCTGTACATACACCTTGCCGTGCTGTCTGTACATACACCCATGCTTCTTCCAATACTCCCCCTCAAGCTGGATCAAAGGGATCAATTGATCCGAGCTTGGATAGGAGATGATGAAAAGTAGTAAATGCCAGTCCTTTGGTGAAGATATCTGCTAGTTGATCATGACTGCGAATGAAGTGTGTAGCAATTACCTTGGACTGCACTTGATTCCGAACATAATGACAATCAACTTCAATGTGTTTAGTTCGCTCATGAAAGACAGGATTTGATGCGATGTGCATTGCTGCTTGATTGTCATAGTGAAGGGACATAGGTTGCGGGTGAGGAAACCCTAGATCCGAGAGTAGAGTTTTGAGCCAAGTGAGTTCACATGTCGTTGATGCCATAGCACGATATTCTGCCTCTGCACTTGAGCGTGCAACCACACTTTGTTTCTTGCTCTTCCAGGTTACAAGATTACCCCCTACGAATGTGAAAAAACCAGTGATAGACCTGCGATCGAGAGAGTTCCCTGCCCAATCTGCATCTGTATATCCCGAGATCTGAGTATGACCATTATTGCGCATGAGGATCCCTCTACCAATGGAACCCTTCAGATAGCGAAGCACACGGTGAACAATCTTCATGTGATCTGTGTTTGGAGCATGCATGAACTGACTAACAAGGCTCACAGCATATGATATATCAGGACGAGTGATAGTTAGGTAAATAAGCTTGCCAACCAATCTCTAATAATACTCTATATTAGGAATGAGATCACCATGAGACTGCAGCTTCAAGTTGCTATTCAAAGGTGTCCGAGCAGGTTTACAATCTGTCATGTTTGCCTCATGGAGAAGATCAATGATGTACTTGCACTGATTTAGAAAACAGCCCTTGTGGGAATGTGCCACCTCGATTCCTAAGAAATATTTAAGAGTGCCGAGATCTTTGATAGCAAATTTGTGACTGAGATATTGTTTAAGATCACTAATCTCAGAAACATTATCACCTGTAACAATTAGGTCATCGACATAAATAAGCACCACAAGTTTACCAGATTTGCCCGATCGCACAAATAGGGAGGAATCAGCATTGCTCCGAGAGAAACCAACTCCCTCTAGGACATGACTGAGCTTGGCATACCATGCTCGGGGACTTTGCTTGAGGCCATAAATGGCTTTATGAAGTCTGCACACCAGGTCTGGATTGTTTGATTGAGGATGACCCGGAGGGATTTTCATGAAAACTTCTTCTTCTAGTTCCCCATGTAAAAAGGCATTTTTAACATCCATTTGAAAGAGATGACATGTATTGTTAATGGCAACAGATAACAGCACCCTCACTGTATTCATCTTTGCCACAGGTGCAAAGGTCTCTTTGTAATCTACTTCATAAGTCTGAGTAAATCCTACGAGCAACCAATCAAGCCTTGTGTCTTTCAATCGTGCCATCTGAATGGAACTTGATCTTGTACACCCAACGACTTCCTACAGCCGTCTTTCCTTTAAGAAGCTTCATGATGGTCCAGGTGTTGTTTTCGTGAAAAGCTTGAAGCTCTTCTGCTATAGCAGCTCTCCATTCGCTATGTAATTTAGCTTCTTGAAAGCTTTGAGGTTCATAGGTCTTAGTAACTGTATTGAGGAATGCAGCAAATGAAGGTGACACTTTGCTGTAATTAATAACAGAAGTTAAGGGATACCTGACATTGTAAGTTACATAATCATTTAACTTGGATGGGAGTCTCCTCTCACGGGAAGGATTTCGACGAACTGTGGGAGGTTGAACCACTGGTAGTTGAGCAGTCTCTTGGTTGGAAGGACTTCTTGAGGGTTCAGATAAGATAAGTTCATCAGGTGCCACTACTGGTGTATTCTGCAGGTTGTGAGACTGAGAATGGACCTCATTCAGTGTTTGGTCCCTTATGACACTCGTTGCGTCTTCTTTACATGGATATGGTATTGGAAACAAGTCAAGCATGTTCTCCCCCTCTTGAGAGTGGTCCAGAGGTTGAGTGAAGTAAGGCATTGGTTCCTCAAATCTTACATCTCTTGAAACAACCATTTTCCTAGTTGCGGGATTGTAACATTTGTAACCCTTTTGAGTGGAATAGTAGCCCAAGAAAACACATTTGGCAGCTTGTGGTTCTAGCTTGTCACGTTTTTGTGCTTGAATGTAAACAAAGCATGTACATCCGAACACTCGTAAGTGTGACAAATCGATTTGTCTGCCTTTTGGGATCTCATAGGGTGATTTAAAATTCAAAACCTTACTAGGCAATCTATTGATAAGATATGCAGCAGTGAGAACACCTTGAGACCAGAATTTTTTCGGCACATTCGAGTGAAACATCAGGGCCCTAGTTTTTTCAAGTAGGTCTCTATTCTTCCTTTCTGCTACCCGTTTTGTTGGGGTGTTCCAACACAACTGGTTTGATGTAGTATGCCATGTGTGCTTAGATAATGAGACATATTATGGGATATATATTCGGAGCCATTATCTGATCGTAAGACATGAATATTTGAAGCAAATTGAGTGTTTACAAGTCTATGAAAATCTTGAAAAACTTCCAACACTTCATTTTTAAATTTCAAAAGATATAACCAAGTTATCCTTGTGAAATCATCCACAAAGGTTACAAAGTATTTGTATCCGTCAAAGGACTCTAGAACTGGTCCCCAAACATCGGAATGCACGATTTCAAAAGGATTACTAGCCCTAGATAGAGAGGAGGTGAAAGGTAATCTAGTGAATTTAGAAAAATGACACACATCACAAGAACTTGTAACCTTGCACAGGTTTGGAAACAAAAATGATAGGACTTTATCAGAAGGATGTGCAAGGCGTCGGTGCCAAAGTTGTTGTTCCTGAATCAAGCTTGAGGTGACTTGAAAAGCCTTGGGAGTTTGAACATGCTGGAAAAGATAGTAAAGGCCGTTTAGAAAAAAACCTTCGCCAATCATCTTCTTGGTGGTGATATCCTGAAAAATCACAGTTTTTGGAGAGAAGATGGCAGTACAGTTTAGTGAGTTTGTGATTTTTCCAACAGATAAAAGCTGAAAAGGGAATGAAGGAACATATAGGGCCTCAGACTCGACATTACTAGAGATCAAATGTATTTTTCCTTTCCCTACAACCATGGCACCCTTGCCATTAGCAACTGACACTTGGGATGGACGTGAAAGTTTTTTAAAATCATACAGATTTGTGGACTTGTTCGTCATATGATCAGTGGCTCCTGAATCTATAATCCAATAATCATGCATATTACCTATTTTAAGAGCAGTTGAGAAGGATCGTAAGATACCTGGAATATCTTGTTGTGTCACGCCTTCTTTCCCAGCCAAAAAACCAGCAAACTGCCCAAGTAGAGCAGCTGGTTTGTTGTCAACATGACTGGTTGATCCTTCATTCTCCCCACCACCTTGTTTCTTGTGAAGGAAGGCAGCAAATTCATTTATCAGCATGGCCGGATTAGAGGTGAACATCTGTGCTTCCTCGGAATGAGAGGTCATGGTATGATTTGCCTTGGGTGATGAGTTGTGTGCTCCTCTAATGAAGCTTTTGTTGCTGTCCCTCGAATGCTTGGGCCTTAGTTCAGGATGGAGAATCCAGCAATGATCCTGTGTATGTCCACCATTATCACAATAGCTACACTTCACAGTGGGTTTCTTTCCTTTATATCTCCTCTCTTCACTAGCCTTGTGATTTGAGAAATATACCCTAGATTCTGGTATATTTGACTTTAATTCCACAGTCATGATTTTTCTGCGAGTTTATTCCCTTTGGATAGTGGCACACACACTTGAGAAGGAAGGAAGTTCAGGATTCATGAGAACATGACTCCTGAGATCTTCGTATTCAGAGCTCAAACTTACTAGAAGCTGAAAGATTTTATCTTCCTCAGCTCTCTTGATCAACACCGCAGCGTCAATGGTGTGTGACCGATAAACATTCAACTCATTCCACATGGTTGTCAACTTGCCAAGATGATGCACAAACGAGTTCCCTTCCTGTTGTAGACTAGCAATATCCTTCTTTAGCTGGAACACTCGAGCTGCGTTATTCTAATTTCCATACATCTTTTTGAGATTTTTCCAGAGAACGTATGAAGATTCCGCAAACTGAAGATTTCTGCAATCTTTCGATCCATAGAGTTGAGCAGCCATGACATGACCAGCTGGTCCTTGCACAGCCAATTATTGTAATCGGATGAGGACACATCAGGTGCTGGAATCGCGCCATTAACATAACCAAGCTTCGATCGTCCTCCTAACGCAAGAGAGACAGCTCTCTCCCACGGGAGATAGTTGAACTCATTTAGTAGGACCGAACTGAGGCGTTGATTTGGATTGATATCAACGTCTAGATGAGATGAAGAAGACGCAGCATGCGAGTTTACTTCTTCGCCATGCACGAAGCTCTCTTCAGCCATGATGGATAAGAAAGGGAAACAGGAAGACGATACTCAGAAGCAGGTCGATAGAGATCACTGCTCTGATACCATATTGAATTTTCTGATTTGAATTGTAATACATTTCATATCTAAGAAAGCCTTATGGGAAGGCATACTTATACACAATACAAAGAAAGCTTTACACCCTTGTAATCGGATGCAACAGCACACATGCAACAATAATACAAAGTAAAATGACCTCCCTGCTATCCATGAGTCAGCAATCACATGCACATTCCTTTCCAGAGTGCACACCCTTGCTGTCTTTCCTTTATGGCAATGATGACTATAGTTGTAATGATGGCAGGTACATACACCCATGCTTGCCGTGCTGTTTGTACATACACCTTGCCGTGCTGTATGCTTGCCGTGCTGTCTGTACATACACCCATGCTTCTTCCAATAGTTCTAATGGTTAATTCGAGGAAAAAGCGTTCTAATGCATGGTTCTTTGTTTCATATGACTTGTATTTCTTTGGGCCTGATTTACTTTCTTTTCTTGTGACTAAAAGGATCCTTCCACTGCTGTTCAAGGGCTTGCGTGTATATATAGATGGTTTATTGTAATAAATAAATCATCACATTTACATAATCTTACATGGTATTACTATTAGAACAAGAGAATTGTTATTAGTATTCCAAAAATTTCATTTTACACTCCAAACCTTTTGAATTAGGAAAGAAAAAAACACTTGTGAGGAGTGTAGAATGAGATTTTTGGATTGCCAATAATACTTCCCTAGAACAAAGAAGAAAATTATCTTTTAAATTTAGCAACAGATATATAAAGATTAACAATTCAATATTAATAAAATTAAATACGTATTTATTTTTCACTGGTGACGTATTTGTTTGAAGTAGTTTGAAAAGATTCAGAATAATTAAGGCTCAGATGCGACAAGAGAGGCAATAGAGGACTGGGTTGGTCCCTTTCCGACAAATAAAGATAACACCGATTTATTGGAAACAGGAGACTTTCCATTACAGTGGGAACTAGCCAGTCAGGCATTGTCCACTGATAAGCTAGCAACGGAAGCTTTTCAATGTTTGAAGTGTGCAAAGATATAGCTAGACGAGGTGATCTAATAGGTTCCTCTTGTACCGTATTTTGGTTGAAGTAGAGATGCTGCACATTGCCTTAATTGCTAACATTAATCGTTGCATGAGAATAACATGCATCCATAACAAATTGAATAACATGCATCCATAACAAATTGCAGAGACTTTGGATATTCATTAATCTCGTCCAACTTAATATTACAACATACCACCACTTAAAAAGGTGGCTTTCATAATGGATATTCGTTTAAGCCAGAATAATTGTTTAACACTTTAATTTTTGATATAAATATTTCTATTTGAATTTAATGAAATTCTTACTTTGGGAAAAAGCATATTACAATATGCCACCACTTAAAATTCCCTTGGAGAACACCGTTTTAATGTCCTTGATTTAATTTAAGGACACAAAAGAAGACTATAAAATGTGTCCTTTAAGAGGTTGTCATGGAAGGTTATACACGCATGATTATTTTAGTGCCTTTAAAAATTAAAAGAGGTGTCTTAGAAGGGCATAGAGGGTCCTCGAATCTTTTACGTGTCCTTGAAGTTTATACAAGACACTAAAATTGTGTCCTCGAATGCCATAAAACTTGTCATTAAAAATTGGGTAGATTATATTTCATTTTCTGAAGTTTAAGTGCAATTACAATTTTATATAATATTTTTAAAATATTTTAATTTCATACATTTACTTATCTTTTATTTCAATACCGTACTCTTGTTAACTAATCTGTTAACTTAACCGTTAACTAATAACATGGTAAATATAGAATTCACATTTTTAATGATGTGGCAAATAAAAAAAATTAAATATTACAAAAAAATTTAATTTAAAAAGGCCAAAAAAAAGAAAATGCCCTACTTGTCCGTGGACCTCCACCGCTTCCTTCCCTTCTCCGACTCAGCTGCTGGAATCAATCATACATCCAGCGCTCCCATTTCGGTACGAACCAACCCTGCAAATCAGCTACCAACCCTGCAAATCAGCTACTCCACTCCTCCTCCCACTCCTCTCTGATTCAATTATACATCCTCCATTTGAGCTAAAGAAGCCCTCTCTTCGTACTCCGCTCGCATCGATCGAATCGCTCAACAAACCCGATCTGGTTTCTCTTCGACGACTTTTACAGCCGCCAGCTCCCTCCTCTTCTCTTCTCCGCCACCGAAACCCTAACCCCTTCGTCACCAACTTTCAGCTCTCCTGCCTCATGCGCTTGAATCTCCCCGCGGCAAATGGCGATACCTCCTCTTCTTCTCTCTGTCTTGAGTTACATATGGTAATGTTGTACCAATTTGGATGTAAAATTGTGGAATTTGAGGCCACATCTGTTGGATTTTGTTTCGGCCTTGGACGATTCCGTGGTGAAATCAGCCTCTGAAAAGGCTTTTTGGTCTCTCCTCGATATCTCGAAGGCCATCTCTGAGCTCACAGTTCTCAAAGGCGTGGTTTGGGCTACCATATCCGCCATTCTCGCAGTTAATGCGCCCGAGGTGTCGCCTTTCATGTCCGACGAGGTGGGGTTTTGGGATGTTGATTTTTGTGTTCGTTGCTTCTGATTTCAGTAATTTTTTTTTTGCATAATTTTGAAATTGATTGTTGCGTTTCGAATGGTGAAAAGCTATGGTTGCAGCTCTGGGAAAATCCAAGACTATCAAACAGTACCTGTTATTTTCAAATAAATTGCAGATCTGGAGTTGGAGAAGGGAAGGAGGCGGTGGAGGTCCACGCAGAAGAAGGGCCCTTTTCTTCTTTTTAAATTAACTTTTATTAATAGTTTACTTTTATTTGCCATGTCACTAAACCTGTGGACCTCGATTCGCCACATCATCAACTTAACAGCTAAATTAAAAAATTATGTAACGGATGTATAATATTGAATTAAATGATAAGTAGCTGTATGCGATCGAAATATTTTAAAGATATTGTACGAGGTTATAAATTCATCCAAACTTGAAGGGGTAAAATGTAATTTACACTTAAAATTATACAAGACACTAAAATTGTGTCCTTCAATTCTTAAAACACAGTGCTTGAAGGAAATGTATGAGTCATGACACAAAAACTGTCTTTGTATCAGAAAAAGGTCGTCAAAATGGTTAGAGGACACCAAAACAATCTTCTAGTTGCAGTTCTATTAGATTATGAATGTGATTGTGTAAACCCTAGTAGATATAGAAATGTATCTTATATTCCTATTAGGAGTAGATTACCTATTAAATGTTGTAATCTTAAAGTGTAAGGAATTGACATTCCTTACTACTATAAATAAAGGCATAATAGGGTGGAATAATGCACATCTACAATTACACATCTCTCTCTTTCTTTCTCTTTTTATGCCGCACCCTCTCTCTCTTTCTGGCATTCATAATTGTTCAGTAAATTATATCTATAACACGTTATTAGCACGCTCTTGACGCTGCACTAAAGAGAGTTTGATCTTCAATCAAGGAAGTATTACGTTTTAATTATTCTTTTTCTGATTAATTTATTATTTTGAATTGATACATGCTATTGATTCAATTTAATTTTTCTGTGTTAAACATGATACAATGCATTGGAGATGCAACTCCGACTTTATGAGAATGATCTTATACAAATTCAAAGGCTTTTGTTGTTTTTTGCCAATCAAGTATGCTTAAAATAAAGTAAGATATTTGAAACGACCATGAAGCATAAAAACATTCCTCATGATGCATGAACCCCCTACATTTATATTTACTTTCCCATATATATATATATATATATATATATATATATATATATTGTATATGTTTCATATATTTGTCAATATATATATATATATATATATTTGTTTCATGCATTACGCATATATGCTATGTGAAATTTGTGAGTCAAAGCATCGAAATAACTTAGAGGCAATTAAGATTTTTCAAACCCTAGATGTCGAAAAGAAAACAAAACTTGGGTCACTGATGCATGAGCTTCACGCCCACTGACCTGCAGTCAGGTTGGGCTACTCTACAGCTATGTTCCCTCGACCCAACATGAATTAAGCCTGTAGCTTAACCCGCACAAGATTGGGCTGTCTTTTCTTAATAGCCCACTTGGGCTTCTATTTGGTTTGGCCTGCATTACAGCAGCAAGTCTGCTGCTTGTAATATTTTTATTCTTTTCTTGGCCCATCTTTGTTGCACGCTTGCAACGTGCATGCAAATTGGGCTGCTCCTTGCAGCCATGACCCGTGCCCATTTTCGGCCCAAAGCCAGCAGATGCTGCTGCTGGGCTTCCTTGCCTACTGCCTGTGGCCTGAAGCCACCCCATGCACTGCATACTGCAGGCCGAACCTACACGGCACCTAGCCCAAAATTTTGGGCTATGGTATTTTCGATCCAACGCTATTATTTAGCATTTTAAATAATTTTAACCTGAATGTTATTATTATTTTTGCTTCTACGATCGACCCCGTTTGGTCTCAATCTATTGAATTAATTAAAAGTGACTTGCAGTCCATTAATTTGATAATGAATCCAAAATTATTGACCTAAAGATCACTTTTGGACATTAACGATTCAATAATTTATTTTTATACTTTGAACCGTCACATACTTTCATAGTAACAAAGCTCTCACACTTGAGTTCCTGAAGAAACTCAAATCCACTATACTTAAATCAGCATATTGTATTCTGTATTTCTTACAGGAACCTCTCATTATGAACTAATTGTTCATAAAACTAAATTGAACCTGTAGTTTCAAATTTAGTGCCTTTGAAACCCGAAGTTTTCATAAAACAATACACCAATGAAAATCCGACGTTTTTTCATGAAAACCATGTCTTAGAACTCAAATGTTCTAACTTTGATGCTTATGGATGATTCCTTCCCATAGCACCAATCATAATCTTGTTCCCTCTATTCAGTGGATTGTCGTACGGTAACAAGTTCGATTTTCCTGATTTAGACGTTTCTAATAAAAACCACTTCATATGGGGTACAAGATGTGAATCTCCACTTAACTATCAAAAAGCTGAGAAACCATTGAAGCCAATAATGGCAAGGAAGAGCTGAATAAGCCTCCGCCATGATCTTCATTCAAAGACTTATGCCCGAAGCATTATCAATGGAAATACCTTCCGAACGATGATTCCATGGCTCTTTGGCTCGCTCCTACGAACTGTGTGATCATGCAACATATTGCCCGAAGCACACCATGATTACGTCCATGAATGAGTACAATTCTGTAGTTTATAAATCAATCGAATTTTGACTAAAGAATATTTTTCTCATCCTTCCATGTTTCTAACTCGCCCCTGAAGCAGCAGTGTAGAAAGTAGAAGTTTACCACATTCTCGGATCTGATTACTACCACAAACATATGGTAGAATCATGGCCTGCCAAGGTGTGGCATCATGCCCGAAGCGTGATCCTTGGCACCTAAGACCTAAAACTTCAAGAATAAGGGATCATATTCCCGAACCTCAACCCTGCAAAATCTACTTCCATATCGATGGAATAGATCATTGGTTATGCACTTGTTCGTGCTCCTACCAATGTTGTTGAGGAGTACCATTCTAGTAGTCAATATGTGAGACTAATTTTGCTCCACCAAATATTGTTGGAAGAGCAGAATTTTGACATGGATGGCCTTGTTGGCTGAATCCCCTTAGTAAACCATTTACTTTGTGAACATTTTTCCATGTTCTTGGATTCAAGCTTGGTGTATGTTTTACTTATGGATAATCTTATTGATATTGTCCTCGAATATGAGTTAATTGAATCATGTTTCTTAATACTTATGACCGATTCAATTAAACATGTGATTAGGTTGGAATGTGGGAAAGTTAGTTGTCTGGATGAATGCGTATTATGCACACTAACTTTACACCTAAATCACATCTCTAACAACGACTTCATGTCTATCCAACCTGATTAAGAGCATTTGGCACGCTCCTCGTTGTATGGTACTGAATTACCATTTAAGGGACCTTAAATTCTCCCCGACGTTGAGTTTTTAAGGATATTCAAGATGACAATGATCATAAATGAAACCACTGAAGAAAATAGAGTGAAATATCTTTGCACCACCTCCAAAAATGAGCCTGAAGCTTTGATTTGGGGCCAATGGGTTGTCTCCCAACTGGGAATACACCACATGTGGCCGACCTAAAGCCTAGTGATTAAGCAGTTTACTTGTTTTGGCACGACCTTTTGGGATACTTAGGTCGAACAATGATGCTACAATGCATCTCCTTATCTGAAGAAAGGATATTATGCCTACAAGCACACTTTACCAAGCATGCTCATTAGGGAAATTGATTTTCTATACCATTCCTCGACAAGATACAACACAATTCTCTTTCCACAGTGGATTCAAGGGAATATATATGGGCTAATTGATAGGAGCATATTCATGCGACTTAATTAGCTTGTTCTCGTGCATTTATGTTGTGTTTACTTAGTTGTTTTAGTGTTTAAGGCCAATTTTGTGTATTTTCAGATTATAAGGTCAAAGTGTGCAAGAAGATGCAAATTGGAGTCTTTTGGAGCGAAAGAGGAATGAATGAGTTGAAGACTTGAAGAAACGACGAATTCCTACGCCAACGATGAATTCTTACCAAAACGAAGAATCCTACTCAAACAAGGCTTCCTATTTTAGGAAAGTTGACCCTAAGTTTCCCGTTTTGGTAACCTTTCCTAATCTTAAACGTTCGTATTTTCTAGCCACTTTGAAGTCCTTGTAGGCGCTTTAGGACACAAAACCAAGGCCCTAGCCGCACCATTTTAATCTTCCCCCTTTAATTTCTGATTTTATTCCCTAATTCTAGCAGCCTTTAGGTGAATTTTAGTTAATAAAAATAAACTAGGGTTTGAATTTCTAAAACCCTAGGGTTTCCACCATTTAGCCACACCCTAGGGACCTCTCATCATTTATTTTCATATTTTTCAGCCACAAAAATGATCACAGCCGTTATTCCCTTTCAAAAAGACCCTAGCTCCCCTACTTTTCATTCATATCATGCAGCCACCTAAAAATCTAATTAAATTCCTCTTGCCGCAGCAACATACCCCATTAGCCATTCACCATAATTCTTTATTCAGCCATTCTCCCATTTAAAACAAACCAGCTGCAGCCACCATACATGATTAATAACCCCATTTACCATACAACCTAATTGCGCCATTCACCCTAGAAACAGCCGCGGCCACCCTTGCGGATTGGCCCTGCAATCCGTGCTGCCACCATCTCCAGTCCAGCCGTGCATCAATTCCAGCACCCTTCTCCACCCTTCCAGCCATTCTACACCCTTCCACACCTTCCTACCACCTTGCCGCACCACCACACTTCCCTAAACCTATTCCTAAACCAGAAAATCACCCAAAAACACAATAAACCTTCTCTGCCGCAGCAAGAAGAAAGGAGGAAGAGGACTTTAAATCGCGCAGAAATTCAAGTGGATTCGTTGGGCGTTTTAGGTGTAATCCATCCTTTGTTCTTTATGTTTAAATTCAATTTTATTTTTCTTGTTGTGAACATGAGAGGCTAAATCCCCCTAGTTAGCTAGGGGGTGATTCAAAACCATGTTTATGCTTGCAATATGAATTGATTACTTTTGGTTGGAATTTCATGAATGGTGAATTCAATTTGTTTAACTGCTTGATCGATAACTTATTTATGTATGTTGATTGAGAGTGCACGCTTAATTTTCATGCATGAATATGATGCTAGATTATGAGGGAGTTTCACCTAATAGTTACAATCTTATAATCACAAGTAGTGAAGGTCGCTTGAAAACGATCGCGTTGAATGAATTCTTAGCATAAGTTTCATGCAATTCATAGTAACGAATGCTTCGTCAATGCTTATGTTTTTCATAGAACTTAATGATTCTTGCTTGTATCTCTATTATGCAATTCATGTAGGGAACTTGTAGGGAATGTTTTGGGTTGTCGTATGCAATCA